ATGCTGATGATGCTGGAATGCAGCTGCGGGATGTAGTATACATCCGTTAGCGCGTGGTGCTCCCTGTTCTGGCATCTGAAGATGATGGTGCCGCGCCCTTGGATAGCCACCCTTGAGCCGTCACCAAACTTCACCATACCGGTAACATCACCGTCGAGCTCGGAGAAGGAGTCCTTGGAGCCCGTCATGTGGTTACTGGCACCAGAGTCCAGATACCACCGCTGCTCCTGGTCGACGCTCACATGCCCAAGATGGACTTGGGCGCGTGGTTCGTCGAGGTTGATGGTCTTCAGGGCCTTGCTAGATCCTTCCACCGTCGTCGCCTCTTCCCTCTGCATGGCCTCGATGTCGTGCAGTGCACAGAACGTCGCCATAAGAATAGTGGCCTCATCCTCATCATCGGCTTTCGCCAGGTGAGCCTAAGCCTTCTTTTCCTTCTTGTGATTTGGGCACTCCCGTGCCCAATGGCCCATCTTCCCGCAACACCGACAGGCGTTGGAGTCGATTTGCTTCTTCTCCAAAGAAGCCCTGCCGCGATGTTTGTCGTTGCCACCGTGACTGGAGGAGGCTGCCTTCCCGGAGTTTCGCCGAGCAGCCCACTCCTCTTCCGTCAGCAGGAGTTTCCCGCTGTCCTTCGTTGCTGTTGCCTGCTCTAGGCGCTCGTCCACCGCCCGCAGACGGCCTGCCACATCCTTGATGGTGAGGGTGGACAAGTCCAGCATCGTCTCTATGGAGAGAGCGATCTGGATGTACTTTGCCGGCACAGAGTGGAGGAATTTGGAGACCGCCTCCTCTTCGTCGATGGTGACGCCGTGGCTCTTCAGCTTGCTGATGAGCGTCTGTAGGCGGAGTGAAAAGTCCTCCACTATTTCACCATCTTTGAACTTGAGGTTTGCATACTCCTGCTTCAGAAGCTGGGCCGTTGCCTTCTTTGCGCGGTCGGAATCGACGCGCATCGCCGCAATGGCCTCCCACGCCTCCTTAGCTGAGCTCTTCGTCCCCAACGGTTCCCTATACTCCGCCGGTACAGCAGCAAGGATAGCCTCCAACGCTGACATGTCGTCTTCTTCCACATCGGTGCCCTTGTTAACAGCATTCCAGAGCCGTTGGGCTCTGAGCTTGACCTTCATGGTCACCGACCACTCTCCATAGTTAGTGCGAGTCAGCGTCGGCCAAGTGGTGCTGCTGACCTCCCGCACCGTGCGGACAACTACATCCGGTAGTGGCTGGGCAGCTATGACAGTGCCACTGCCATCGCCCAACTCCAAACCGCCTGTCCTCGCCATCGGTTAGAATGACGATGACGCTTGTACGGCTCTGATACCACTTGTTGGCCCACGGGATCACCGTCTGACAATAGTGAACTAGTCTCCAGACCACTAGTCTCAGACCAGACCACTAGTCTCCCAGACCAGACCACTAGTCTCCAGACCAGACCACTAGTCTCCAGATCACTAGTCTCTCAGACCACTAGTCTGCCAGACCACTATACCGGTTGTGTCCGTACCCACACACTACGGATCGAGCTAGAAGAAGAAGGGAGAACAGAGCAAGCACGCACAATACAAGATAACAACGTTGGCCGAGACCCTGTCTGTGTGATGGCAAATCTGAGCTCTCTTTACTGAGTTGCATTGGTGCCCTATTTATACAACTATATCTATCTAACTAAAGTACAGCGCACATGCTGTAACAGTAACTAGATAAGCATACAGGGCTGACTCTGCGCCGGCCACTGCATATGCCTACAGTGCTACAGGTGAACCGTGCGGCGCCTACACCTACAGCGGCTACAGTATTACAGCAGGGGGCAAAGTCGACGTCGTCTTCCTTTGCTGTGTTTCCCACAAGGTGGCAGTAGATTAGCTAACATGCTTTCTGTGTCCCAGGGATCACCACGAGAAGGAGAAAGTATGGTGTCAAGATAATACTGGGATTCCTCGAATGATACACTGCTATACTCAAGTGCACGGTAACTCTTTCCCATTGGGCTACTACCGGCACACCTGAGCACCCAGACTCTCTCCCCATACTTGGTAACACCGACTACAAGCATGAGGATGGTGGCCCACCAGAGCAAGGCCGGACTGTGTACGGTGGAAGACACGTGGATGATGTAACCGACTATAGCCACCTGCACAACAAGTGTCTGCAGATGGCGGATCCATAGCCGGTTGTCCTCAATGGCGTAGGCGGTGATGTTGTCCTGCCCGCCGAGGTGCAGTAGCAGAAAATGGTGCCCAGAAGGCCATTAGCCCATGCTCAGTCAGCCAGCATGTATGCTGACCAAACGAAGAACCTTAGGATGCCGGAGTCAATGCGCCGGCGGAACTGATCTGCAAGGATGAGGAGGGTGACCTGGAGTGTGAAGCTGAGAAGCACCAACACATGGATGCTCCATTCTTTCCATGCATCCAACACCTCATCTGCTCCTTCCATATATATTCCTGGAACCAATACATCAAAATAAAGTGTGACTTTATAGCACATGCGTGATCAAATGAATCTACTACTAGGAAGGGTGGGCAATTGCTCAAATGATTCTCTTGTGTTCAAAAGGCGTGGTTTCTAAAACAAGATTCCAAAATCACATTCCAATGTTTCTATGCAATCCAACACTAAATTTCCTAGGCGTTTGATCCGCACCCGATTGAAGCTCTTGCAATCTGACTAGCTTGGTTAGGGTTCATGGTTGGGCGGCCTCTCTCTCTCTCTCTGTGTATGTGTGTCTCACTTCTTCTCCATATCAGATGGCCTTATTAGAAAGAAATCTAGGCAATTTGGGAGTGGAAGGTTACACCAACGGTGTTGGCGACCAGCCAATCGTAGGGGCGGTGAGGCAGCGATGACGCTGCTGTCTACGGAGTGTAACGAGGTGGTTGGGGGCAAGGGCAGCGGTATCATGGTGCTGCCCCCACGAAGGAAGGTTAGCATGGGGGTAGAGGTGGAGGAGGATCCAGCTGAAAACTGTCGGAGATGATGGAGGCGGGCAGGGTGGAGGCATTGGGGGAAGAAAATGGCTAGAGGTTGAAGACAACACATGCTTCATTGGATCAAGATCCAATAGACAAAAAAATCGAGTGCCTATAACCCCGAAAACACTCAAACCCTGGGTACAACAGACTCTTTTCTAGAGCAGGATTGCTATTCTATAATCGAGGATTTCTCTCTTCACATAAAAAATAGTTATTTCCTCTCCCCGAAGTTATCTTCATCTTCAACTACCGCTTCAATATTTAGCTTATTTTACCCTTCTTCCGACCAAATTTGATCACATGTCAATCTCCATCTATTAGATTGTGGGTTGGCTCAACTAAGGTCTACCACAAATACCTGAGCAAGGGAAAACTGAGAGAGATCGAAGACTTGGCCAGTACTAGAGAAGACAGCAAGGTTACAGCGGCAATGCTAGCGGCAGCAGGACACCCTTCGAGGGATTGTTTACTTGATGGTGGCCAATAAGGTGAGTCAGTCTCAACCGATGTCCCAATCTCATCCCCAATAACAAAGAACTGCCATTTGGGGGATTTGGCTCACTTTAGTAGTTCCCCGATTTAGGCGCCAATGATTTTTTTCTCAATCTCTCAAAGTCCATCGTTCAACAAAAAGATGAGGGAACACACTCCCTCCCTAAAGTATCTATGATTGTTTTTTTGCATGTCAGCCAAATGTAGTGTGCCCGCCTCTGCTTGCTTGTGTCTCTATTGAGGAACCTAGCTCAAGTGAGAAGTGACCCTCTAGCATTTTGTGAATCGAGTAGCGAGCTCCAGCTGCCTACAGATAGGGAACTGAGCTCCTTGCCACAGTTCCTAATTAATGGCCGCAGTCCACCTCTGTTAAGAGGCCCAACCCTTTTCAGTCCACTACAGGCCTCAATATATAAGAGAGGGTTAGAGAAACCCTAGCCATTCATCTCCCTCGCCACAAGCTACCGCACATATCCAGGCCACCTCTACAATTTTGAGGACCCTAGGACAGAACACAACACTATGGGCCCTAAAGGCTAAATATTTTTCATTTGTAACATTAGAGCATATAAAATAGTACCTGTAATAGTAAACTTGCAACATTTTTAGTATATAAAATATAATGTTGATACTACAATACAAGAAAATAAAAAACAGTAAGATAACTAGTATATTACCTTAAATAAGATAATCATGCTAAATTGGAACTAGAAGTTTAGAACCCAAACAGCCTAACAATCTAAGATGCTAAGTAAATAACTACCTCTGACTAGACATACAGAGCAGCAACAATACACCAAAATTAAATCAAAAACCATGCAAGAGGCTAAGGGATGAAATGAATTCAATCTTTTATCCATTAATCTGTACCATACCAACTACAAACTTTGAACTTTGAAGATTCAAATAAGCTTGATGACTGCCTGTCGAGGGATGAGGAGACAAGGATGGAGAGCGCGGCGCGAACAGCATGGCGACATGTGCCTATGTTGTGATTTTAGTCACTGATGGCGAGACCCCACTCAAGCGGCAACCACAGACGATGTTTCATTTTCCATATGAGAGGCTGCCTGCTCATCCCAGTGGAGGAGGCAGCGTGCTGGGGTGAGGAGATGGCAGCGGGCCATGGAGAGGAGACGATGGTGGGCAAGGGCAAGGAGGTGGTGGTGTAGATGTGGCAGAGGAGGTCCATGCTTCGACAACATGCTCGGTACCTGGCTGCGCAACATCTTGACAACTCCTTTTATTGTTTTCTAGAGGCCAGCATGCAGCGTGGCCTTTGGTATCTGTGATTAACAGGGACCGTTAGACAGTAATTGTTCTCGCAATAGTGTGTGATTTGTTGTCAATAAGCATGTCGCTTATTAGGGCGTTCCCAACAAGGGTGAGTCAGCTAGCTGTTTGGGTGTACAGATCAGCAAGTATCTACGTGGAGGAAAGAGAACGTGAAAGAAAAAAAAATCGAGCCAGCGACTCTCTCGTCGCTCATCTCGCACGCAGCACGATGCGGTAAATCGCCGGACCAAGCGAGAGATGGCTCCGGCACCACATCAGACTGGATCTGCTCCTTCATCTCAGATTGGTTCTTCCGCTCCTGCTGCGATTCAAGTGCCTACTCCTGTTCCTGCACTTCTTGGTGGTGGTTCTACTAGTACCGGAGGTCAAGCAGGTAATGGATTTTGCTCCTGGTTCCTGTACTTACCTAGATACGTAGGTTGGTTGTGCAAAATCCCTAAGCCTTTACTATAAAAAAAAATCATTTTCCTGTACACAGTTCTTCCGATTTACCTTTTGCAAAATTTCCATGGCCCAGCCCTATGTTCTATTGCTGTGCTGAAATGAGCTATAATATTCTTGGCTTATGTTGCCCTGTTGTATTATTTTTTTCTTGATTTCTTGATGAAGTGTTGCTCTAAACTGATGGCCGAATGGCATGCCTTCTCAGCAGCATGGTGGCCTGGACCTTTGCCACAAGCCACATCTTCAGCAGCCACATCCACAAATTGGTAAGTTTCATTTTTTTTCTTGCTGCACTAGATGTCATTTTATTATGTTCAGAAACAGTTAGTTCACTAGCTATATTAGTTTCATTAGAAGTAACGATATGGGTTGCTTGATTTTCCAGTGGTATGGATTACTATCCACCTGGTGGTTTTATGAGCTTTTTACAATCTGGACAACCATTCATTCCTCATGTTTCGGCACCATGGCCACCTATGGGAAAGGAATCTCAATTAGCACCACCAAAAAATGACTCAGGAAACCAAAATGCTAAAAAGAGATCGAAAGGCAAAACTATCTTCAACTTAGATGATGGAAACGATGGCAGGACTGCAAAGCGTCTTGTATTTGATCCAGATGAGGACGTGAGGCTAGTAAGTAAAATTGTATCACTCACTTTCTTTTTGTACCTTCACAAATATATGAACCTACAACTAATCATGTATGCTAAATTCAGGTCAGTGCATGGCTGATTCACTCGAATGACACAATCAATGGGAATTGCAAGCAAAATGAGAGCTATTGGGGTGATGTACATGAACTGTACAGTAGGACTACACCTACAAACCGAAAAAGAGAGGTGAAACATGTTAGCCCTGGGATCTTCGGGACGGGTGAGCCGACCACTCACCTGCGTTGCCGACCACACACTATGGCTAGAGGGAGAAGAATAGAGGGAGAACAGAGCACACACAGCACAAGCACCAGCGTTGGCTGGAGCTCTGCAGAGAAGATGGTAAAACTGAACTCGCTTTCTTTACTGAGTTGCAGTGGGAAGCTATATATACAACTCTACCCATCTAATCTTAGTACACAAACATGTCAGACTGCCAATGTGCTACAGTGACTAGATGTGACAGCAGGGCTGACTTTGGAGCCTGCCCCTGTTGTGGCTACAGTGCCGCAGGGGAGCCTTTCGGCGCCTATCCCTGCCGTGCGTTCATACAGGGGAGCAGCAGATTATTTAACAATTCTTTCTCTAATCCTGCTGTTAACCCTAGAACTTCCACCATACCGATCATCTTCTTCCACTCCGTAAACCAAAGATGGCCGAGCGGCTTGGTGAGGACGTCCGCAAGTTGCCGACCAGTTTCGACGAACTTGATGACGATTTGCCCTCTATCGACACAGTCCCTGAGGAAGTGGAACTTGACGTCGATGTGCTTACTCTGGTCGTGGAGAACCGGATTCTTCGTGAGGGCGATGGTGGGCTGGTTGTCCACCATCAGTGCTAGTGGGTAAGCTTGCACACCGGTCAGCTCGCCCAGCAGCCGGCGCAGCCATACAGCTTGGAACGCCGCTATGGCCGCCGCCACGTACTCTACCTCACACGTGGACAGCGCCACCACCTTCTGTTTCAGCAACAGCCATGAGATTGGAGCAGACACGAGGAAGACGAGCATGTCAGAGGTGCTCCGCCGTCCATCGATGTCCCCCGCCATGTCTGCATCGCTGAACACAGTGAGTTGCAGCCTATTTCCGCCGGTCTTGGGGAAGACAATCACCTGATCCACCGTCCCCTTGACGTAGCGCATCAGCCGCTTCACTGCAGCCCAGTGATCCTCTAGGAGATCCTCCATGAAGCGGTTGACGTAGCCCATGGCGAACACAATGTCCGGCCTCGTGTGGACAAGGTAGCGTAGACTGTTGATGATGCTATGGTACAGTGTTGCATGTAAATTCGCCATAGTACTGGCCTTCGTCCGCTTCAGCCGCTCCTCCATCGAAATCACGCACGGCTTGCACTCAGCCATGCCGCTCCGCTCCAACAGCTTCGAGGCGTACGCGCTCTGACCCAGCGTGAGCGCCTCCTTCCCCTGTCTCACCTCAATGCTGAGGTAGTAGGAGAGCGCGCCGAGATCGCTCATTTGAAAACAAGCCGCCATCTCGCGCTTGAAGCTGTCGATGTCCTCCGCACGCGCGTCGATGACGATCAAGTCGTCCACATACATGCCGGTTGCACACCGCTCCTCCTTCCCCCATCATCGCGTGTAGAGTGCATGCTCGGTTGCGCACCGCGTGAACCTAAGCTCGCCTAGCATGGCGTCAAGCTAGGTGTTCCACGCTCGCGGGGCCTGCCGCAGCCCGTAGAGCGCCTTGCGTAGTCGGAGCACCCTGTGCTCCGCTCCCTTGATGACGAAACCCGGAGCTCGCCATAGAGGAAGGCCGATTTTATGTCTAGGTGATGGACGCGCCAGTCCTTCACTGCTGCCAAAGCCAACAGCAGTTGGATAGACTCCATACGTGCTACCAGCACAAAGACTTCCTCGAAGTCGATGCCCTCACGCTGGACCAAGCCTCGGGCGACGAGGCGCGCCTTGTGCTTGACAATGGTGCCATGCTCGTCCCGCTTGACCTTGTACACCCACTTCAGGCCCATCGAATGGCATCATGGAGGTGGATCGATGAGCTCCCAAGTCTCATTTTTCTCGATCGCCTTCATCTCCTCCGGCATCGTCCGTCGCCAATTTGCATCGCGCTCGGCCAGCGCGAACATGGGTGGTTCCTCTGCATTGACGAGAAGCAGCTCTAGGTCATTGAGCAGCCGACCCACCAAGCCTGAGGACCCTATGCCACCGATGATATTGTCCAGCCTATGGAACCGCACCTCCTCACTGTCGTGGAAGGCATCCACGAGCTCGATGATGTCGCTTGGAGGTGAGGTGAACTCGATCGGCATCGATGGAGTCCCCTGTTCTACCGGAGTGGTCGGCACAGCACTTGGAGTGCTCGGCACCCTAGCTACAGCGCTCGGCACTACTCCTGGACCGGTCGTCACCACTCATGGAGTGGTTGGCACCACTGCAGGTGTGCTCAGCACCAGTCTTGGAGTGGTCGGCACCACTGCAAGACCTCTCGGCTCCACTACGGGAGCGTTCGACACCCATCCTGGAGTGGTCGGCACCACTACAGGACCGCTCGGCACCTGTCCTGGAGTGGTCGGCACCACTCTTGGAGTGCTCGGCACCCCTCCTAGACCGCTCGGCACCTGTCCTAGAGTGCTTGGCACCGCCCCAGGAGTGCTCGGCTCTGTTGCTAGAGAGGTCGGCACCTCCTCTCCAGCGTCTCCACCACCGTGGATGACCCAGTGCTCGACGACGAAGGTGCTGGTGAAGCTACCAGCTTCCCCCGTGCCCGGACTGTCCCAGTCCTAGGATGCCTTCTCGTCGAACACGACATCGCGTGAGACAACCACCTTGCCCCCGCGTGGGTCATAGAGCCAGTATGCCTTGGTACCTTCCTCGTAGCCTAGGAGCACCATCGGTGTGCTCCTATCCTCTAGCTTGGTGAGTACCGGCTTCGTCTTCCTGACCTGGCCGATGTAGCCAAATGTCCGAAGGAAGGACACACTCAGCTTGTGCCCATACCAAGCTTTGAACGATGTCACGCCCTTTAAGGCATTTGTGTGCACGCAGTTGAGGATGAACACCGCCGTGGTCACTGCCTCACCCTAGAACCTTGCCGGCATGCTCTTGGCCTTCATCATGGATCGAGCCATGCCGACCACCGTCTGCTTCTGCTGCTCCATGCCATTCTACTGTGGTGAGTACGGCACGGTGTGGTGTCGCACCATACCCTGATCCGCGCAGTACGCAGTGAACTCCACCGAAGTGAATTCGCCACCGTGATCAGTCCACGGCATGCGTAGCTTCTTGCTGCTCTCCGCCTCCGCGCGCGCCTTAAACTTCTTGATTGCCTTTGTTGCCTCGTCCTTGCTCATCAGGAGTTGCAGCCACATCTAGCAACTGCAATCATCCACGAGCAGGAGGAAGTACCGCCGCCCACCATTTGTGGCTAGCATGATTGGCCCACAGAGATCGCCGTGGATGAGCTTGAGAGCATCCGTCGTGCGATACTTGGTCACCTTTGGGAACGACAGCCTCCTCTACTTCCCGACCAGGCAGCTATCACACAGCTTGCCTACGTGCTTGATGTGGGGCAGCCCTCGGACCATATTCTCCAGTCGATCGAGCGTGTCAAAGATGAGATGGCCGAACTAGGCATGCCATAGCCACGGCTCCTCGGTGTGCCATGCTGCCAGGCACACCGGCTACTCCACCTTCAAGTAGAGTAGGTACAGCTGGTTCTAGGACCACTTCACCTTGGCAAGAAGCCGCTGCTCCCGGTCCCTGTTCCTAAGGATGCCGTCCTATATCAGTACCTTGCTATCGCGCTCATCCAGCTAGCCAATGCTGATGATGCTTGAACGTAGCTGCGGGATGTAATATACATCCGTTAGCGCGTGGTGCTCACCGTTTTGGCACCTGAAGATGATGGTGATGCGCCCTCGGATCGCCACCCTTGAGCCATCACCAAACTTCACCGTGTCGGTCACGTCGTCGTCGAGCTCAGAGAAGGCTGCCTTGGAGCCCGTCATGTGGTTGTTGGCACCGAAGTCTAGGTACCACCGCTGCTCCTGTTCGTCGCCCACACATCTGAGGTGGACTTGGGCGCACGGTTCATTGAGGTGGATAGCCTTTAGAGCCTTCCCAGGCCCTTCCACCGCCATCACCTCTCCCTTCTCCTTGGCCTCAATGTCGTGCAGTGCATAGAACATCGCCATCAGGAGAGTGGCCTCATCATCATCATCAGCCTGTGTCAGATGAGTCTCATCCTTCTTCTCCTACTTACGATTTGGGCATTCCTTTGCCCAATGGCCCGTCTTCCCGTAGCGCCAGCAAGCGTTGGGGTCGACCTTCTTGTTCTCCAAATAAGCCTTGCTGCAGTGCTTGCCATCGCCACCACGACTAGAGGAGTCTTCCCCAGACTTCTTCCTCTAGGCAGCCCACTCCTCTTCTATCAGCAACAGCTTTCCGCTGTCCGTCGCTGTTGTGGCCTGCTCCATGCACTCGTCTACCGCCCACAGACGGCATGTCATATCCTCAATGGTGAGGGTGGACAAGTCCAGCATCGTCTCTATGGAAAGAGTGATCTGGATGTACTTCATCAACACGGAGTGGAGGTACTTGGAGATCGTCTCTTCTTCGTCGATGGTGACGTCGTGGCTCCTCAGCTTGATGATGAGCGTCTATAGGTGGAGGGAGAAGTCCTCCACCGATTCACCATCCATGAACTTGAGGTTGGTGTACTCCTGCTTCAGCAGCTGGCCAATTGCCTTCTTTGTGCGGTCAGAACTGACGTGCATCACCGTAATGGCCTCCCACGCCTCCTTAGCATAGCTCTTCACCCTCAATGGCTCCCTGTACTCCGCTGGCACAGATGCAAGGATAGCCTCCAACGCTGACATGTCATCATCTTCATTGTTAGTGCCCTTGTCAATAGCATTCCAGAGCCGTCGGGCTCTAAGCTTGACCTTCATGGTCACCGCCCACTCGCCATAGTTGGTGGGAGTCAGCGTTGGCCAACTGGTGCCGCTGACCTCCCGCACCGTGCTCACAACGACCTCCTATTGTGGCTAGGCAGCCACAGCAGCACCGCTGCTATCGCCCATCTCCAAACCATCCGTCATCGC